TTAAAGGAGTTCCATAAAATTACTTTGGGGTTGCTGGGTAAATGCAGTACAGAGCTAATTGAGTCACTTCACCTCCATACCAGCTTCAGTCTTTTCTGCAAGTGCATCACTAGCAGTTCACCAAATGACTGCTCAGGGCTCATGGCATCCAGTTAAGTGACTCAAGAGTCTCATTTGCAATTACCATTAACCAGAAAAGGCTCATTACTGCCTTGTGCCCACAGAATACAGTGTCACACAATATTCACAAAAACTAAAGGGCTGGAGGGCTGGAAGAGGCTACAGGGGAAAGCTTTTAGAAATAAGGTCCTGGAGTGAGCTTTATCTGCTCCAGCCTCTCTCTGTCCCTCCTTTATCCTTTCTGCCCTCAAAAGTGCGAATGAGCTGTGAAGAAACTCCAACCTGAACAGCAGAAAGCAGATGATATTATTTCCAGAGGACTCAGAATGAGACTCTCAGAGGCGGTTGTGTCAGTAACTAAGTAACCTACAGAATTAAACAACTTTGTTGGAGCCTTTAACTGCTTTAATAAGGTATTTAGGCTGAACACTCCAAAGGCCACCTCTAAATCTCTAAAGACAACACTCAGATCTTTAGCTCTCATTAGACTGCCTGCTGCGCTGTGTCAAGCAGAGTTAGTGAAAGCCCCATGGCCCATGGAATTTCAAAAGAAAATTCCATAAACACTAGGGGTAATGTTGGGCTTTGCCACACTTTTCTCCTCAGCTCCCTTATTTAATGATCCTCCTCCTCCATGCATGTCCCCCACCATTTCCTCTGTGAGTCATGCAACAAACTTCATCCACACAGACTGGTCTTAGAATGAAAGGCAAGTGCATGTTTCAAGTAATGGTACTAAAATGCCCTAACTTTAGATTTAGTATTTGTCATTGACCTATATATCCTTTCCACCATTGTGTATGTGTGTGTAAACCCAAGGTTAACAGGTTACAATAGAGATGAGCTCTGAGGAGGCTGCATAGAAAGAGGCATGAAGAACCTCCCAGTAGAGATGAGGAGGTTACATCTTCAGACCTGGATGCTGGTGAGGGCACTGTGGGTCTCAGCAATATGTTGACACTAACAAGAGCCTTTCGTAAATTTGTGAGAAAGCATCTTAATAGTCTTCTTTCTGAAACTGATTTATTAAGGGATGTGGTTAAGAGGAGGAAGTTGCCCAGCTGGCCTTAGCTTGGCTACTATTTGCTTGAGAAGGGCTGAGGGGTGACCCCAGAGGGGCTCTGGCTGCAGCTACAGACCCTGCCTATGAGTCCCTGAGTGTAAGAGCTGGGCAGTTCACACCTCAAAGTGCACTTCTGGAGTCGGGGCAGAAGAGAGGAGGGCTGCACATGGCAGGGCATGATAGAAGCAGTTAGTGTGGATGGGAGAAGAGCTAGGAGAGAAAGACTTTTTGGATTTGGAAACAAACAAAAGATACAAAGGAGAAAGAAGAGCTGAATCCAGACCAGGTGCTGGAGCCCTCACTGGTTCCAGCCTGACGCCTCAGTAAACTCTGTGAATGGAGAAGCAGAGGGCAGTCAGCCAGGAACACTGGCTCCTTGATGGTGGTCACTTTCATGGTGTAGGAAAGAGAAGTAGGGGGCATCATCTGTGCCAGGAGCCCTCCCTATAGGCAGAGACTGACAGACAGACACAGGGAAACAGACTATCCTCAGAGACAGCTCTGCTATGGATTATTCCCCTACCTGGGACTTGCTTAAAGCAGAGGCCCCTCATATTCCAGGCCAGGGTGGGGTTAAGTAGCATAAATTGCTTTAACCAGGGTGCCTGCATTCCTGGGAAGTCTGCTTTCCATTTAGAAGGAAAGGCATCAGCTTTGAAGGCATCCCAGGTTACTGAGTTATCACCACAATAAGATTGAGAATGATGGTGACCTATACAAACACGATAAATACATGATTTTCTCTGCTCAGTAAGTGGATTTTGATTATAACTCAGCACTTGCCTGAGGTCCTAATATACTGTTAGCATTCTCAGAAAAACTCTGTAAGGACAAAGGACAAAAATGATTCCACAAAACATAACAAAACTAAAATATCCACAGACTTCCAAGCCCTCTTATGTAGGTGCATGCCACCTAGAAAATTAAAAGTAAGGTTGCAGTCTGTCTGTCCTTAGTCACCATTTCATGTACCAGCCTGTCACACAAAGTGTGGGGAAGTACCAGAGAGCAATAGCTGTTCTGGGTTAACATTGCCACAGCTTTTTTTTTCTTTAAAATAATTTTTCCCATGTAGATCATATCTTACTATATCCCAGGCATATTTCTGTGGTCTGTCAATGGAAATTAATGCTTAGAAGGAGCACTTTTCTTTGGAGGTTTTATACACTTTTTAATATAAGTGATGGAAGCAGCAATGCTCCTGTGGAATTGTTCCTTTAAAGTTGCTCTGCCAATGACTGTTAACCCTCAGGCTTGAGAAACAGGAACCTGATGCACCACCTGGACCATGAATGAACACAGGGTGCTTATCAGGCCTCCATGGAGACAGCATGGGCTGGAGAGGTCTCTCTGCCTGGCACAGCCTCTGTGAATCTTATTAGCTCTGCTGCCCCCCTGGTTGCATTAGCATCACTCAACTTGCGGTGCTTATCTGCAATGACACTCATCTGAGCAAAAGCTGTTAAGTGTGTGTGTGTGTGTGTGTGTGTGTGTGTGTGTTTTATGGGAAGTGAAAAGCCAAATGAGAATGTACTTGAAAATGTTAGCTATGGAACATAGCCTCTCAAAGCATATGTCACCTATTTTTATGTTACTGTTTATATGGTTTCTAAGTTGGCTAAAGGCTTTACATGATAACTTTTGAAGTTCCTAATGAATCCCTACATATTATGTGCAATAACATATTTTTTGGAGGAGAATGTTATAAAGCACATCTGCCTCTAGTATCTCTTTTCAGCCTCGCAGAGCTGTGGAGGAGGCAAGATAGGTATTTATTTGTATGTTCATTTTGAAAGTGAGAAAAGACTCAGAGAGGTTGAGTCTTTTGAGGTCACACAGCTGATCAGAGCTGACCCATGACCTCCAACGTTACTCTGGACTCCTGGGTTCAGGCAGCAGGATTATTTGTCAATACCCAGGCACAATATCCAGATCACTAAAAATTATGCACAAATACATTTCATCCCACCCCACAAGATCTCAGCACCGCTCTTGTCCTCTATTGTCAGCTGTAGTCAATGAACCACATAAATTCAAACTTTGGAAATGTTAAATGTCATAAATAATTTTTAAATGTATTAAAATGCAAAACAGGAGTAAACAAAATTTCTTGCCCTAGAGAACTAACTAATGTAAAGTGACAAAACAATGGGAGTTTGAATGTGGTCTCAAAAGTGGCCATGAAATGGAATTCAGAATCATATTTTAATATGTATCTCTTACACTTGCTTTGCCAAGGATGGCTGGTGATGAATTCTCATTTATAAAAATAAGCCATAAAGTAAAAAAGCAATAGTAAAATGAGGGGAAAGAGATTGAGAGAGAGCACAGGGATGAGACAGTGAGAAAGGTTGTGTGAGATGGTATTAGTCATAGCTTGGGAACCACAGAAAGGTAAGTCATGATAGCCATTCCAGAGGAGTCCATCACCCCCCACCCAGGACCATCATTAGCAATGGCCTGAGAGGATCCAAGTAGCTGTCCCTCCTACAGACCTGCAGAAGTTGTGGGGTGAAGTTTAGAGGCACCTATCAGCGTGGACCTGCAGTGATCCAACTGAGAAGAGTCTAACTCTTCATAGGAGTTTATAAAGTGATAAGCAACAACCAGCACCCTTCCTGACCAAGATCAATGATCAGAATGACAGATCTATCCTCATAGGTGTTATTCCAGCACTCTCCTTGTAGACATGCCCTTCCACCTGTTACTCAGCGCTGGGTGTAGTGAGGACAAGAAAGGAACTCCTAATGAGTCTATCATTTATTTTAGTATAGAGTAATGGTGGCTAAGTTTCACATTTGGGGAGTGCAGCTGCACCCTGCCCCTCCACTACTGCACTGCTTTTCCATTTTTCCCCACCACCCCTAGCTAGTGGCTCTTCATTCATTTCTCCAACAGTTTTGGCCCGGATGTGGTGCGGTCCTCTGGCATCCCATTTTTTTTTGCTGTTCATTTAAAGAGCATTGACCTGAAGTCACAAATGCAGATGCAACAGCACTGGACAAGCTGTCAGGTGGCCATAGGCAACACAGCACCCGCAACCATCTGCAGTGACTCAGACTGTAGCTCAGAGGGGGTTTCCTTATTATACAATTAAAGCAAATTCTGCCTCTTCCAGTTCTCAGTGAAAGGGGTGAGGGGGTGGAATAGGGGTGGGGGGTATCTCCTTAGCAGAACACAAAGAAGACAAACTCCTGACATCTTTCCTCTCTCTCTCTCTCTCTCTCTCTCTCTCTCTCTCTCACACACACACACACACACACACACACACACACACACACACGCTGAGTCTGAACCCAAGGAAAAATACTTTGTAGAAAGAGCCCCCTGGCCAGCTCTTAGCCCCTTGTCTGATTGTTTCTGCCAGCGTTACTTCAGCGTTAATTAGAGGGGGCTTCCAAAATCCATGTGCTTACCTACTTTTGCAAACACATGAGCAGGCTGCAATCTCTGTAACTTTTCAAATACTGTCTATTGAACATTTGCCCACAAGTATTTTGGAGGGTCGCTCCCTACTTCCTCTACCACCTCTACCTCTGACTACACTCTTGTGTTGCCAGTTTGGAGGAAAGAAACTAGATTTTCACTCCAGTCGTTCCAGCCAGTCAGGAGAAAAACCCACGGTTACAGAGATCACCAAGCCACTTAAGAGAGCCAGAAGGAGCCAAGGTAACCACTCTGGGTCCCAAACACAGTCCTAGCACCCGCGAACCCGCCTTTGCCAGGAGCTCCGTGCATGCGCAGGAGAGTCACTGACGCCCGGAGAAAGGACTTGAATCCGAGCGGCGTGTATATAAAACCATAGAAAGCAACTCACCTTTATGTTGTGCCTGGGGTTTACCACGCAGACAAGTTGCCCAGCGGTGGAGAAAACCCGTTTAGCCTTGTAGTGCTGAAAGCGGAGGTGAATGAGATCTAACACAGCTCCAAAGCACTGGGTAAAGAAAAGCATCACAACTTTTGGGGGTTGGTTGGCACAGGAAGGCAGCGGAGGCAGCTGTAAGTCTTTGGGGCTCTGGAAGGAGCACAGCCACTGAGACACTCCGCTCCAGACCGGCTTAGCGTGCCTTCATATTCATCATCAAAATAAAACGGTTAGAATCTTGCAGCAGTGAGGTGGCCAATCAAAAGGACAGAAACGTTATCCTTGAGGTGAAGAGACAGCCAATAAGAAATGCCTCCCCTACTGAAACTCCCGGATGAATTGAGCTTGGCGTAGAATGTATTATTGAACATTACCATAGATCAGCACATTGCATTTATCTTGTGATTACAGCCTACCATACATAATGCAGGGGAGATAGGCTGACAAAATTGATTGCTTAATGTGTCTCCATTTATTAATTGACTTAATTTGACATGAGAGCCTTTCTTAATGCACTGGCAAAAACGTAAAGCGTTTAAACCTCCAAATAGTAAAACAGCCTGTTTCAAAGTAGGCAGATGGATAACGCAGATCCTGTCTCGACTCACCAGAGCTGCTTGGGAGAAAATCAAATATTACAAGATTCCTCTGATTCCAGATAAGGATTTGGCAGATGCAGAAACGTTCATCTTTTAATCTTGCTCTCTATCTCTGCAATTTGGGTTTCAATCCCTTGAAAAATCTTACTCTCCACTCTCTCTATATAATCCTTGGACAAGAAAAACAAACAAACATTATATGTATACATATAATATATATAGTTATATATAACTATATATAATATATACAACTATATATAATTACACATATAATATGTAATTATAATTATGTATAATATATAATTACTATATAATAATATATAACATATAATTACATATATATGTAATTAATAAACCTGAAAATAATAAAGCTAAAAATGCATTGAGTATGCTTTTAAAAATAATGGAATACCTGATGCATGAATGCACACACAGAAAAACCTACAGAGGAAAGTGGTTTGTAATCAGCAAAATAATTACCATGTGGAGGGTCTTTCCTTGTCATTCATTTTCATTTGTGGGCAGCAAATTGCTAATTAATCACTAGGTTGTTGGATACATTAAGACAGAGATTAAGGGCACATACACCACATCATTTGCTTGTGTTTGCGAATGCCAGCAGCACGTTTCTGTGCTGAGAGGGCAGAGGCATGCCAGTCCTCAGACTGTCCTCCTCTTTCCAAATGGGGCTAGGGGTTGGCTGGTAGGTGAAGGGCATGGGGGAGGTTTCCTACGTCCAACCACAGGTTCTGAAAGAAAGGTTCCTGAGCAGTGCATGAGGAATCAGGGTTCCTTGGGACAGTCAGCCTTTGTGACTAAAGCATGAGAGTAGAGTGTGTTTTGTCTTCCTTCTTCAGTTGTTTACTGAGAAGTCAGCCCAGATCCTGTGTGCCTGGGTGAGGATGGGCCTTGTGGGTGAATTGCACCCAGAGTTGTGAGCTCATTGCTCTTTCCGTAACGGCTCTCATTTTGCTCTGGCTACAGTGTGTGATTTGTAATATATGAAAGTGTACATCTACCTGGGACATCTACTCTGTGACCTGGTCAGGCAATTGAACCAACAACAAATTAAAATATAGGAAAAAAAATGAACAGGTTTACTGAAACCAAGGCTAACCCAGGTGTTAGTTTTAATTTGAATTTTAAACTAATCTGAATGTTTTAAGAGACAAATCAGCCAATCACCAATTAAAATGGAAACTTTGTACTTTCTAAAATAATTGCACTGGCACAGACCTAGAAAATGACAACATTTGAATTGATTAGGACCTCATCAATGTGGTACTTTATAGGACATGAGTTCCTGCTCTCAGTCATTAAATAGTTCATAAATAAGCTTGCTGACCCACAATACCAGAATTTGCTCTCTAAAGTTTTTATTTTCCAAGGTAATGAACAGTTTAGTGTTCAGCTGGAAAGCATTCAATGTTCTGTTTTTGTCCTACTTTTTAAAAAATAAAAGTGAGATCATAATCCCATAGGTTTCATAAAAATACATTTCATAATTCATAAAGGTCCAAACTTCCCTTTTCTCCATCCTGTGTTAGAATGGAACTATTGTGTTTTTGTTTCTGCCTTTGTGCAACCTCAGTCAAGTTTTTTGACCTCATTGAAGCTTGGTTCCTACATCTGTAACAAGGGAATGATCAAAATGTATTTCTTTCAAGGCCACTCAGAAGACAAGGATGATATATCTAGAAGTACCCAGCACAGTGCATGATTCAAAATAGCCTCTCAGTACCTGAGTCTAATGAGCATCTTGGTGGAAGAGTGATTATTTGGTAGCATGTTTTTTCTTCTGCTCCATGAAATGTTTTTCCCCACTGATATTCATGTTGTCCTCCAGGGCCATGCAAGCAGAGGGCATGATAAGAGTAAATTTGGCTCCTGCTATGTTCTTAAAGGTTAGTGTTCCTGACATTACCTAGAGACCTGGCCTGGGAGCGAGGGCTGAAGGGCAAAGGAGTACACATTGATATCGGTGGTGAAAACAGTGCCACACACCTGCTATTATGGTTTCATTTCCTTGGTCTCAGACTTGACCTCTTGCTCTAACTCTGTATTCCAAACTGGTCCTACATTACTCCCTTTTAAAATATTAAATATTATATGATCTTACTTATATATGGAACCTAATCAAAACAAACAAGCAAGCAAAATATAACCAGAGACGTTGAAATAAAGAACAAACTGACAGTAACCAGAGGGGAGGGGTAGAGAGATAATGGAGGAAAATAAGGGAAGGCCCATCAAGGAACTTGTATAAAGGACACATGGACAAAGCCAAAGGGGGTAGGTTCAAGGGTGGGAGGCTGGGATGGGTGGGGTGGAGAGTGTGGTAGGGTGAAAATGGAGACAACTATACTTGAACAACAGTAAAAATAAAAATTAAAAAGTATTAAGTACATCTATCTGTTTTCAGAATCAGTCCTGAAAATAACCAGTCATTGGAAAATGTCTAAATCTCATCCTAATAATAGATGATCTTTTAATGTCCCCAAGATAGGATGGCACAAACTAGCTTTCAGGTAGATATTTTGAGCTGTGTCTACCTCTTATTACTAAGTTGACCCCTCCTCAATAGCCATACCTAGCCCCTCATGCTATGTCATGATACCTAGGGCTCCCCATTCCCCTTTGTGACAACCAGGTTTACATTTTATCTGGACTAGAAAGTCTCTGCAGTTGGTAATCAGACAAATCTGGATTCAAACTGTACATTGTTACTATTACTTTTGGTAAATTAATTTCACTGATGGTTAGTTTTGTTGCCTGTAAAGTAATTCCCTTGAAGTTGTTTAAAGATTAAATGAGATAACATAGGTAAAATGACCAGTCCAATGCCTGGCCTTCATAATAACTTAAATGAGAAGTTATTGTTATAACTATTATCATCTTTGCATCAAAAATGTTTTTGTCCAAGTTAACCCAAACTGTTGGTGAAGATGTGGAACAACTAAAATTCTCACACACTGTTGCAACCCACTTCAGAAAACTGTTTGGGTGCATCTACTAAAGCCAAATGTGTAAATCCTATAAGGCAGAAAGTCCACTCCATATACCCAACACAGATGTTAGCATGTGCTCACCAAAAGACTCGTCTAGGATTTTCATCCCAACATATTTCTAATATAGTTTCATAGCAACTACATTCAAAATTATTAAACAACTGGAAAAAACCTAAGTATCTATTAACAATTGAATGGATAAGTTATATCACTTTTTCCTCCTTTCCTTAAATACTACATAAAAATGAAAAAGAATAAACTATTTTTACATGTGACAATGCAATAACATGGATGGATCTTGCAGATATAATTTTCAGGTAAAGAAGACACACATAAAAGAGTACATGTTGTGTGATTCTATTTATATGAAGTTCTAGAGTGGAAACATAAATTTATGGGGTAGGAGATCAGGAGAGTGGTAACCTTGGCAAGGGGTGATGGCTGAAGGGGACATGAGGTAGATTTTAGAAAGCTAGAAGTAGTCTTTTTTTTTAATCTGTGCTCTAGTTTCATGACTGTTTTAGGTTAAATAGTTTCCTAAAAGTAGATATAATGAAGCCCTAACCCCTAGTACCTCAGAATATGATCTTATTTGGAAATACAGTACAGAGGTAATTAAGTTAAAATGAAGTCTCAATGTGAGCTTTAATCCAACATGACTAGTGTTCTTATAAAAGGAGGGAATTTGAATATAGAGACATACACACAGGGAGAATGCCATTGGAACATGAAGACAGAGATTGGGGCAATATATCTACAAGCAAGTTAGTAGCACCAAACATAACAAGCAAACCACCAGAAGCTAGGGGTAAAACAAGGAACAGATTCTCCCTCCCATCCTCCAGAAGGAACCAACCCTGCTAATGCTGACCTGGACTTCTAGTCTTCAGAACTGACAGTAGTTGCCTGTTGTTTAAGCCACCCAGTTTCTGGTACTTTGTTAAGATAATATTAGGAAACTAATACAATAAATATGTCCAATTTGTGGTAATTCTCCAGGCCGTGAAATTATGATCAGTGTACTTTTCTGTATGTGAGCGATATGTACCAAATGATACTAAAAAATGTGAATGAGCACATAACTGAATTTTGAAATAGGTACTTCATAAACATTTTAAGTTTATTGATGTAATCACAAAGGGAAATACTTGATTATGTAAAATGTTAAACTCTGTATGTCAAAATAATGTGTAACAACTGAAAATGAAAAATCCAAAATATTAGGGGATATATTTGCAGCAATTATGAGAGCAAGAGATATGTATTCCTATTAAATAACCCTTGTACATGCATTTTAAAGAACTAAAATTACATAGAACAAATAGACAAAATATATAAACAAAGTACACAGAAGAAGAAATTGAAAGATTAATGATTAAATGAAAAATGTTCAATAGAAGTAGAAATCAAGAAGAAAGAAATTCAAATTAAAACAAGATACCATCTTTTACTTGTCAAATCTGTACTTTTTTTAACAATAATATCCAGTGCTAATGAATCATCTGTAAGACTGACATTCTCACGTGCTGTGATAAGATTAACAACAACAAACATTTAAATGGTTGGT